TCCAAGACCTGCACCAGATATTCTGATACCATTACCTCCGAAAACATGCATTCGTTTTGTGATATAAAGTAATTCAAATTAACCTGACAGATTATCATATGTGGGAAGAACCTATCTTGAGTTGTTTAAAAATTTCTCTAAGAGCTAGAGAAAAATTTAAAAATATTTAAAATTCCATCTCATACAACACAAGGCCCAATAAACCATCAACCATAGAAATAAACCAGCATCAGTCACCAAAGCCTAGATTCAAACACCCAGCACATCCTGGGAACACAGAATTTACCCCACCCCCACCCAAGCCCCAACCCTCAAAAAACACCTGTTAGCCTCCCAGGTACTACCGTAAAAACCACAGCTCTAAATAAAATGCCTTTAGTGACCCCCAGCAAAGTGGAGATGTTCAGGAGTAACCCGTTTACACACTTTCTCAGGGTGGGATTGAGGGGCTCTCCATCTAGGCAGTGGGATCCTGTCTGTGGATACCCGTTTCTCAGAATCTCTGGAGGAAATACTATTACCCCCTTAGACTTCTGAACCTAGCTGGATCCCACCCCGGGCCCCAGGGGACGCCCTAACAACGAAGTGATTGGGAGAAGGGGCTTAGACAACGACCCCTAGTTCCCCGGGAAATGTAGGGGAGCAGCTGGACTCCCCGAGCTGCCCAAGGAGGTCGGCGCCCTAGGCTTCTTGGTGGCATGCTGGGGCGCGGGGAGGGAGTGACTCTTACCCGAAGGTTGCCTTGCTGCAGGCGGCGGTCGGTCCGGGCGGCGGCTGTAATCCACTAGGCGCTGCCCCGAGGCGCGCACTCTCGGCAGCAGGGACCCGTTCATGTTGGAGGAGAAGCCGCGTCGGAAGCGCTCGGCTGTAGTCGCCCCGAGCAGGCCAGTTGCTCCCGGCAGGCGGTATCGGCGCCGGCCGGGAGCTCGGCGCCTAAAGCCCCTTCTAGGCCCTCCCTCCCCAGGCTCCCCCCCAGCTCCGGAGGTGGTAGCAGTGCAGACCGAGTGAGCGGCGGTGGGGCCAGGGAGCGAGCCGAGGCTGCCGCGGACTCCGCAATCCCGCAGCCGGCGACTGGAGCCCACCTCTGCAGAGACAAAGGTTAGAAAAAGAGGGGGTGAGGCTCTGGGACAGCAGAATGCGGGGGGAAATTCGCCTGGGAAATCAGGAAAAAGGCCGTGAAGGCGAGCGGCGCTTGCACATGACCAGCCGCAGCCAATGACGACCGCAAATAGGTCATAAAAAGGTCTATTACCAAGTTGTAAATTTTCTTCAAACAAAAAGGAATTTACTGCAATTCCTTGCGGATTTTGCACATACAGCTCGCAAGCGCCATGTTTTTTCCTCTCTTGCTTTCTCTCTCCCCCTCCTCCTCTCTTCCTTCTTCTCCTCCTCTCTCTCTCTCCATTCTCTCTCTCCTTCCTCCCTCCTTTCTTTCTCTGTCCTTCTTCACCTTTCCCTTTTTTCTTCCCTTCATTGTTCTTCTCTCCCTCCCCCACTTTCTCTTTTTCTAGGAATGTGCGTGTGTGTGTGTGTGTGTGTGTGTGTGTGTGTGTGTGTGTATGCTTTTCTTTGGTTTGGCTCAAAACCTCTGCGCAGTTGGCCATTGTGAAGGAGGGAAAATGAACTCAATGTACTGCTCAAGCTCTGGGGAAGCAATCCCCACAGCAACATACCCCCATTTCTTACCCTGTGCCAGGCACTTGGCTTCTCCTCCCCTCCCTTCAGGAAAAGGCCTGTCTCCAAAGCCAGTCAACCACTTTCGGTTTTCTCCCCTCCCACTCATCCCCTTGCAAGCTAGCCCCAATGATCCTGGGAAGAAAACCCACCCAGTCTCTGCAGGCCAAGAAAGTGTGCCCCCCCCACTCCAACGCAAATTGGGGTCCCTCCCATTCCCTGGAGGTTCTGCCATAGGATAATCACCAACCAGCTTAAAGGCTGGAAATGGTTTTAGGTACTTGTCAATCTCACCGAAATATCCTTTTGAAAGCCCACTGCCTGGTCTTTCTCCACAGAAACATCTTTCTGGACAGACAGGGTGGTGGTTTCTGGATTCCTTCTGAAACTCCTTGGTCTATGTCCCCCTCTAAGAACAATTCTCATTGTTATGGAATTTAATTCTAGTTCTTCCCTCTCTCCTTGACCCCAAATGTTTCCCCATTGAAAAATTTGTTCAACGAAATACTGGAAAGGGGTAACATTTGTTCAGGAAGAGTGGCTTCCTCAGATCAGTCTAGAAAAAAAAATTCCTTTTCCTCAATTGCCAGTGTCACATTCCCTTTATATTTTTCACAGGAACTGCTCTGGAGATCTTTCCCTGAAGGTAAATGTCCTTGGCTGGCCTCCAGCATTCCCCTTATGGGCATAGCCATGCAGCCTTCAGAACCTGCCTGAAAGAGGTTCACCACCCCCCATCCTTTTAAAGACAGTATCTTTGGACTTACAATACTATGTTACAAATATTTGCATTGGATATCTGTGTATAAGTTCTCTGCTATTAACATCTTCACACCCAGTAAGTACCTAAGTGTATGTGGACTGAAGCAGGAAGCGGCACAGCACTCTGAAGCAGGCCATTTGTTATCCCTTGAAAAAGTTCTGATGACCTTGGATGTTTTTGATTAAAGGACTTTTGCTGCCATCTGTCAGCAAAACTCATATTCTTTCTAGAAAAAAGTCCAGTGGGCCCTAACTTTGCTGGAGGGAACCGCAGCAGCAACCAGGGTCTATTAAAATGTCCTCTCTCCTTCCGTGTTCAGCCCCAGATGCCCAAGGATTCAGCAAACACCGGGGAAGCAGAGAACACAACAAGCTTGGATGTGAAATAGCCCTACCTTCTGTATTGCAGAAGAAAACAATATTTTAAATTACACAAGCAGATGGGGCTTGTTGGGCCCTCACAAGCCCAGAAGACTTCACACTGGTATACTGGGGTGTGTGTGTGTGTGTGTGTGTGTGTGTGTGTGTGTGTGGAATTAAGCAAAGAACTTGTCCAATTCCAAAATTTTCTGAGAAGTAATCTCAGTCAATTTGTCTCATTATCCTCTCCCTATCTTACCCAAATAAAAGCAGAGCTTTACTACTTTCCTTTTCAGCTTGGGGAATGAGGGCCTCGAAGAGACTTTGCACTGAAAAAGCAGCCATATTTGCATTTTCTCCACTTGTGTGGAGGTAAGCGATGTACTGGGCTTTGTGGAACCTCACAAAATGGCATCCTTGAACTGACTTCTCTGAAAACCACTGAGACCCACATGCTCTTTTGTGTGTTTCTGGTTGTTGCAAACCAAGAGCCTAAATCACTCGGAAGGCCTGGTTCTTTCATTCAGCGTTAACATTGGAGAGTACTATTTTTCTCTAAACCATTTACAGACCTCTCCAGGCAGACTGCTGCAGTCCAGGGCTGAAAAGTGCTACCTGGGATGGCAAAGCATTCTCTGGTTTATGCAAATTTCTGCAGCAAAAAAATGTTCGCTTGTTGCCTCAATGCTCTGATGTTGACACATTTGAGCCAATTAGAAGGGCACCTTGTGCGCAAGTCACTGCCAGTCTGTCTGCATGAAACATCATAATGGGGGTGGAGATGTCTAGTCAGTGTAAGAAAGAAGGTGGCGAGTAATTCCCCAAGGTCTTTATTTGAACACAAATCTATGCTCTTTCCTAGCTACAAAAGGAAACATTTACCTACATTTATAATCAACACTCTGGGCATGTGTGTAAGCTATGTATACATCCAAATTTATATTCTAAAATACACCAGCTATTGCAACAGTCTTTGTGCATGAGCTATGAATTTACCACAGTTTAGGGGGCCAGTGGGGCCAGAAGGTACGCTTCCAGACCAGCACAGAATGCTGAAGAAATGACATTTTTACCTACCCTTCCTTCCTTGATTTCCAAACCCATCCATACATTAGGGCTCCCACGTGACAGTCTTGCCCAAATCATTTCAAGATTCTAAAAGCATTTGGTGAGCATCCTTGAGCAGTAGACAGCCAGTTTTGCTAATATACAAAGGAGTCCCAAGTCCTTTAAATCCATGGCAGCTAGATTTCAGCCAGCACTTGTCTTTGGATGGTTTACACTGGAGGCTGTTCCCCAGCCTCATGGCCCTTGGCATCCTTACTCTGTATCAGCCGACAGCAGAGTCTCAAGCAGTGCACAGAGCAAAACATTCTCAAATCCAGCATATGCATTTACAGCTGTCTCTTGGAGTGTAAATGTTTTAAGTCTTGGGCCACCTGTGACTTAAAATTATCTTTCTTGGTTCAGGTCGGACAATGTCACAGCCATCACTTCTTTCCAGCATGGAAAGCCAGGTGGTGCTTTCCCTCTGACCTGGCCAGTGGCAACATTTCTGTGGCCCAGGAAGCTACGGGCAAACTGCCCAAAAAAACCCGATGGGGTTACCCTGGCCCAAAACGATAGTATTCCATTTTCTTACCTATGTAATAAAAGCAACTCTGGAAATAAAAATGTACCTCTTTGAAAACAAACATGGTTAGAGAAGGCAGAGAGCTCTTCGATGACTACCTAATAAAGGTGCTTTCCCTTTTTCGGGAATAAATGTTACTTTACTTGAATTTCTCCTCTATTTTCCCTGCTCCTCTTCCCTGCCCCCCACTTTCCCCTGTAAAATGGCAGCTGCAGGAGCAGCCTCCAATGGAAAACGGATATCTTGTTAATAACAGATGCCAAAACCCAGCATCAACACTGGCTCAGTGGAATAAGCTGTGGTGTAACCTGGACTCTGGGTCGTCTCCCACTGGGCCTACAACTTGAGTCCTTTAAGAGGTTCAAAGCTCTTAAGAGTATCTTAGCAAGATTATTTAGAGCAAGATAGACTAGCCAGCCCCCTCAGGAAAGAGAAGAGGCCCCTGCCGCATTTTTTTTTTTTTTTTTTACTCGAGATGTGTGTAACTCCACCCCTTTCTTATTAAACAGAAGCCTAGTGACTCAGGGAAAACGGGTATTTGCGGCGCTCAAAGACACTAACTCTAGATAAAGACATTCATTTCTTTATTAAGGAGCTAGAGACATTCTGGAGTAGTTGTTTACACTCAGATTTTTCTGCGTTTCCTCTCAGGGCTTGTTTCAAATAGGTGAGGCTATTGCTTTTTTGAAGAACAGCAGAGGGTGTACCAACCGACATCGCACACAGTAAGCTGGTTTAAAACTAGCAGGCGAACAGAGCAAAGGCAATACAAATAAATACGGCATCTACTGAAAAAAAAAAAACGGAACACAGCAGCAGCCACGGCATACAGAGCTAGAGATTTCGGGCGATTACAAGGGCGGTTCAAAACGAAAGCAAGTTAAGAAATGAGATGCATTCTACAAGGCGACTTGCCAGAGTGAAAAGTTAATGAGTAAAAATGTCATAATTAATTTTTCAAGTATTTATTCACTCTAGATTATTTAATTTGTGTGTACTACAGAAAAATAATTGTCAACTTTGACATTGTCTTGAAACTCTTGTCACTGGCCCAATCTTTTCCTGAAGTTTAAGGAAGCTGCAGAGCTGGACTACACGTCACTCTTCAGCTAACGTGTGCTTTCAAATATTTGGCCCAGCCTTTTCCCCGAGATATTATATTTAGAAAATACACAAAGAAACTACTTAGGAGTAAACAAAAGGCACCCGAACCATTCATTATAAAAAAAAGAAGAAAAAAAAATCCATAAATAATACTTTGTAATCAAATAATATAAAGTAAATATTCTGCAGACATAATTTTTTAAAAAAATTTATAGACTCCTTTTAATTTACTCACCATACAGATTAAACGTTCAAGTGCACTTGTTTAATAAAGCATTTTATATTCAATTATTAAATGCTAATCATTAGGAAGTTTACGTTGTTCAGGAAAATCACCAGCTCAGACATTAAAAACCATTATAAAAATATAGCTACAAGGTCAGTATCAAATTACCCTTCCATAGGGCAGCTCAAGGACTGCTTCTATGTGATACCAGAAACTTTTTAAAACACCCAAATCCCTCTCAAAGCGCAGAAACCTCAAGAGCAATGATATGAAGGTAGCTTGAAACACAGGTAAAGTCTTTTTCAACAAAGAAAACAGGTGGTGTCCACAGCATATGGTTATCATTAGTTTTAATAGTCTGTGGTAAAATTTTAAAGGTAGAAGTTAATTTGTCGGGCCTTCAGCTATGTCTTCCTCCAGCTCTTGGGCTTCCTTTTTGGTTTCCCTGTCCTTCACCTCCTGCCGGGAAACGGGAAATTTATCCTTGTTGTTTTCCTTTTTCCATTTCATTCTCCTGTTCTGGAACCAGATTTTTACCTGTCTCTCCGTGAGGGCTAGGGCGTGGGAAACCTCGATTCTTCTTTTCCTGGTCAGATAGGGGTTAAAAAGAAATTCCTTTTCCAACTCTAGAGTTTGGAAGCGACTGTAGGTTTGTCTTCCTCTTCGTCTACCAGGAGCTGCTGATTAAAACAAAAAACAGGGGAAATAAACGTTTTAAAAATGTAATGGTGCCTCTGCATGTTGCTGAAGGTTTGTGGAACGAGGGGTCTACAGGCTCCGATATATATAGAGTGCGCAAGCAAGAGGGGCAGAGAGAAGGTCTTCACAATTATTCTCTCCCCATCATCTTTACATGGTTTCTACTATTTTTTTTTTTAAGTCTGTATTACTTTATGAATAAGAGCCACTGTGGCTACAGAAGAAGGAAAAGGAAGGGGAGAGGGAGAGGGACGGGGAGTTTTAAAGCCCGAACGTGAGATGAAAGCAGATTTCTTCCCCTCTCCCCTCTTAAAAAAAAAAAAAAAAAAAATTGCATCCCAACCTTGTGGTCTCATCCAGGGAAACATTTGAGAAGGAGACGAACTCTGATTTAAGTGGTCTGGGTCCTCGCCAATATTACCACTGGACGATTTACAGTCAGGATATTGTACCAGCTCGGCCTCTTGCTGGGTCGTAAAAATCGGCTGTCTCTGTAAGTTATCGTATCCGTAAAACTTCGCGGGCTCCCCGTGACAAGCAATCCCGCCGCAGGGGGGAGGCGGCGGCGGAGGCAGAGGATGCGGAGGAGGAGGGGGGGCGGCCTTGTAGGCAGCGGCCGGGCTGCCCCCGCCGGGATGGAAGTAGTCCTGGCCCGGGCCGCCCCCACCGCCGCACCCCGGTCCGGAGGGCGGCGGGGACGGGTGCGGGTGCGGGTGCGCGTGCGCCTGCGGGTGCGCGTGCGGGAAGCCGGCGGCGCTGTTGCCATAGAGCTGCAGGGCTGCTGCGGCAGCGGCGTGACGGCCGCCGACCTCGGGCGCGAAGTGACAGTCGTAGTAAGTGGGATTGATGGCCTCGCCCGCCGCCGCCGCCGCCGCCTTGTACTTGGAGTACAGCGGGTTCACGAAGTACGAACTCATTGGGGCGGCGGCGGCCCTGGCGGTGCTAAGCAGGCAGGGAACGGCGCCTCTGCTCGGCCGCACTGCCGCGGGGGCCTCTGGGGCGGCTGCTCTGGCCGCCTGGGCCGCCGGGCTACTTCGGTGCTGCCGCCCGCGCGCCCGCGTCGCTTCTGAGGCCGGGCAGCCGCGGGCGCTCAGCTACTGGACGCTCATGCCCGGCTCCTGCGCCCGCCGCCTCGGCCTCGCGCCGCCTCCCTCGCGGGTCGCGGGGCCTAGCCCAGCCCCCGTGCGCCGCCGCCCTCCCGGCCTTTCTCGGCGCGCCTGGGCTCGGCCGCAATATAATCGCCGACGCCCCGGGCGACCAGCCCCGCTGCCTCCACTGTTTCCTCTCAGGCACCAGGAGGGCCTGAGCGCACCGGGACAAGAAAAAAAGTGCGCCGGCCAACGGGGACACTCTGGCCTCGGTTTACAAACCTCCGCTCTGGAGGGAAAAGAAAAAAAACCCTCTGCCCGCCGCCACCTCTCACCGTGTCCCCCCCGCGCCCTCCGCCCGCCGCTCTCGCCCCCGCCGCCGAGGCTGCCGCCCCGGTGCGCACAGGCGAGGCATTTTCGCAGTACAGCGCTGTACGGAGAAGTAGCGTGCCGGGGGCAAGGAGCCCCGCGGAGGGATCCACGCGCACTTCAGTGGCTGCGCCCAACGGACGGAGCGCCGCGCCCGGCCCGAGATGCCTCCGCCGGCCTTAAAGGGGGCCCATAAAGCTGCACTGCCAAGGGCTCCTTGTGCCCCCGCGGCCGCGGGAACGCGGGCCGCAGCCTGCAGGGAGGGGGCGCGGCGGAGCCTTAGACTTGGGGGAGGCAAGAAGGCCACTCCCAGGAGGCTGCGGAGCAAATGACTCCCTCCCCGAGCTCATAGGGCAGCCCAGCAGAGGTTGCCCGTGGCTTTTGCAGCTCTGGACACGCGGGCACAGCCCAGGGAACGTGGACAAGAGGTGTGACGGACCGGACCGTGCATTTGAGTAGGGGCATATCGAAGTGGTTGGATTAAAAGCCGCTAGTGTACCCCCAGTTCCTGGCGTTATCAAATCAAATCAAAACCCTTCTTTTCCAGCCGAGTGGGCTGTGGAAATCAGATGTACATTTACCCTTGACGCACCGCATGCCTGGCCGAGGCTCCCAGGTTAATTGATATTTAATGGAAATCATGCCCATGAATATAGTTTCCATCATTTCACCCTTGATAGACGTCAGCACTGGGCGCAGGGGGAGGCTGAAGAATGCAGGAGGGGGGCATTAGCCTTGCTGAGACAGTGAATAGAAGAGCGGATAAAACGTTCTGAGGCGGGAAAAGGGGCTCACGCTGGGGAGGGTGACATTTCCTCGGGCAGGAGGCGGTTCCCGGGTCTCAGCCCCAGCGCGCAGCGGACCAGGGCGGGTTGCGGTTCCTGGAGGAGCGCGGGGAGCGAACGCCCGCGAATCCCCCCAGGAGGGCCGGCGTTCAGATGGCGCCGGTTGCAGGCAGCTGCAGGCGGCCCATCTTCTGCTAACGATCCTAGTTCCTCCGCCAAGCCTGTGAAATTGCTGCGGAGAGAGCGCGCGGGCCTCAAAGTTACGAATTTTTCCCAAAGCAGAGGAAGAGAAGGCTCAGCCTAGTTTGTGAGCAGTGATGAAGAAAAGCAGCCCGAGTCATGTGGGCCAGTCGAGTGTGAATCGACAAAGTATTCCTGATTTTAGCAGCTCTCTCCAAAGCTGCCTGGCTCCCCACGCACTTCCAACCGCCTCCCACACTCTTCCTTTCCCTCTCTGCTCCGGTTTCAGTGTCCAGTAAATGCAGTGCTTATTTGGTGTGTGTGTGTGTGTGTGTGTGTGTCTTCTCCTCTCCTGTCCGGCCTTTTTCGTGGGCTCTTTGGATAACTGAGCCCCATTTCCTTTGGGATAGGTACTACATGTCGTGAGGGCGGCAGGCCCACAGCCTTGGAAACAGACCTCGAAGGCGCCCCCGCTCAAGCTAAGCGCACCACGCCGGCTTTCCACACCAAATGCAAATTTCCGAAAACCCCAGACGGCCTCGGAGACGCCACAGGCCGGCCAGCGATTTCAGCTACCCCTGGCTCCTTGTGGGTTGGCCCAGCCTGCGAGCGCGATCCTGAGGTGTGTCCGGGTGGACTGAAATATCATTTTTACAAATGGAGAAAATGAAGTCGAGATGGACAGACGTAGTGAGATGATAATGTCTGACTCAATTATTTCTACTGGGAATGACTGACAGTGGTTAAGGTAAAGGAATCGTTAATGAATCTGGAGATGATAAAGACGTGCTTTATTTAATTTTCAATTAGTAGGGAGTGCAGACTTAAGGTGGAGAGCAAGGGTTTTTTTTGTTTTGCTTTCTGTTTTTGTGGGTTTGTTTTTTCTGCTGGTTACTGCCAAGTATAATCACTTTCGTTAAATCCGTAGGCGAACCAACTGATTCTGACAGTTAAGGATTTGTCCTTCAATCTTGCAAATACCCAATTAAAAGATTATTATTGTCAATAAAGCCTTGGAGCTACCTTTGTAATTGTGCCCCTTTTTTCAGTTTGGCATATGTGTGTGTGTGCGTATTTGAACCCTGGATAAATGAGTGGATTTTGGAATGGAATGGGGAAAAAATGGAAGAGAGAGCCAGGGTCTCAGCAATACCAGGCACCTTCTAGAACTGCGTGATTCCTCAGGGAAAAAAAGACAAACGAACACTAGAAAATTCATTCATACATATTCAGGCCAAATTTAGAAAACATTACAACACATTTCCTCTTTGGACAAAACAATTTTTAACATGTATTTAAGCATTCCGCTTATAATATGAGTAGAAAAAGAGCGCGATTACCTTAGTAAGCAAAGATCTATGCTTTTTACACGTTTCTGTTTTGCTAAAATACATTAATTTATCATGTTTTGTAGGCTCAGCTGTGCCATAGTCTAAATTTTCTGAAGCACTGACTGAGCCAAAATTTTATGCCCAACAAACACGAAGAATTTGATAGTTCACCTCGTTTATTTTTGTTAAATTTATCCTAATTTGGAATTAAAAATAAGATTGTAAATATTTTTAATCAAAGCCTTCCGCAGCAATTCAGGCTTTACGAGATCAGAAAGTGGAGCAACAGCGCTCTCTAGTGGCCAAATGCCACCTCCAGTCCACTGAATTTAACTTCCTTTTATTCATCTCAAACCAATTCTAATCTTGTTCTTTAGCTTGGGGCTTGGACTGCTGACACTAATAATGCTTCATTCCTGTGACTGTCAACAAGTGAAGAGCAGCAAACAGGGGCTCCTGCATGCCTAGGATATTCTAACGTGTGCTCCCGACAGCTTCCAGTAGTGCCTTTTCTAAAAGGTTTCAGCCTTTCTTTTGCCAGATACCTAAGGTCCCCATGCTGTAACCGTCCAGCTGTGCCTTTTAAAACAATTATAGGACAGGCTAGATTTAACAAAACCTACAACTTTCTAAATATCAACTGCCAAGAGGCTTTTTCTTTTCCAGAGGAACCAGACAGTTTGGCAACCAAGAAATTACAGAAGTCAAGCATTCTTGTGTTTTGTTTTTCTCTCACAGCTGTTGCTTTTAGGATTAAATCATGAATATTTGCTATTTTAACAGTGTAACTTTAATGCTTTGGACTCACTTATCTGGGCGATTTTGGGAGGAATCGAAGCCAAATCAAAAGCTTTTTGCTGGATCTCTGAGTGGCTGTCTGGAAAGTCCCTTTGGGTTTGTGTTCGTTTAAATTTCTACGGACAATAAATGGGATTTTAAAAATGTGTATCAAAAGTCATTGAACTGAATTGACTAGGAATTCAACTAGAACTTTTTCTTAAATATGACTATTCAATTGGCTTAAGTGTTTCTTGTTAATCTTTTTACTCATCTTCAAAAATGCTCTTGTCCAGTTTAGGTGTAACAATCATATTTTTAAAAAGTGAATAGATATAAATCCCAACAATCTTTTTCCTTCAAAGTTTGGAGTGGAGGGCCAGAAAATCTTCTGAATAAGCATCTAACTGCATCTTTTCCCTCCAGCCACACTCCTGGGATCAGTAACCGCTGGACCCCCAAATAACAGGCCAATTTTTTGTTTGTTTCCAAATAACCAGCTAAACCGTGGTCATAGTCAAAATCTTATAAAATCCCACTGCCTTAGGCTACTTCCAGCACCTGGTTTATTTCAAAAATCAGAAATTCATCACCTCTTCCTTGCTACGTCTCTCATGTTTATTTCCTAGGTGCTCACACCTCACCCAGGGGCTCCCATGCCCCTGCCTTCTTGGTCCAATGCAGTCTTGTTTATATTTTATTGTCTAGATTTTAAGACCCAATTTTGTCTGCATTTTTCCTTTCCTCCCACAAACACAAACATCAAAATGAGATGGTTTCAAAGCAAAGTGCCGGACCTGTCGTAAACTCATTACCTCCAGACGTCTGGCCGGCTAGATGGCTTTATGACACCTTGGCACTTCCTGTTTTCAAAGAGCCCTAGGTACTGGGCTGGCCACTGGGGCAGGGGTACGCAGCACCTTCTGCCGGATCTGGGCCTTGGCTTTCCCTCCCAGCCCCCTCTGCTTTTTCTTCGAGTCCCCTCTTTCATCAGGATTCCCCAAGATCTTTGCCACCGCCCCCACCTTCCGCCCAGCCCAGGCCACCCGGCGCCGCTGCCTCTTAGGGCTGCAAAGGCTATGCTCACCCGAACCCTCACTTACAATGACCTTCATTTTAGCCCCTGAATGCAGCCTCCAGAGGGCCAAGCTGGGGGCTAAACATACAGAGAAGCTGGGGGGGAGGCGGGAAGGGGCGGTGGGTTGGAGGTGGCTGGGGAGGAGAGCCTTGACCATTTTGATCGCTAAGGTCACTTTGGGGCTCTGGTGGGGAGGGGCAGAAGCTCACAGCCTGACCGGCTGGGACCTCTCGAAGCCAGCCAGCCTGGCCGAGCTGGGGGAGTTGCTCCACCGTGCAGAGTTGGCTTTTCCCTTGTTTGGAGAGGGGTTTGGAGGCGTGGGCTCCAGGAGCCTGGGAGGACTATGGTGCTTTGCACCCAAGCCCCAGCCTGAAAGTTCCTGGCTTCTGGGGCCTGCTGGCTCCTCTGCGCGCTACTGGTAGGCTGAACTGTGCCCAAGCACGGAGTTCCCAAAGGAGCTGGAACAAGGCTTGGGGAGGCACCAACATCCCCCCAGGGTCTGTGCTCTAGGCCACACCTCCCCACACAAAGGGAAGCTCAGAGACACATCAGAGAGATCTGTCAGGTGGAAGGGCCAGGGATTTTTAACAATGTCTCCCTCCCAGGGGTGAAGGAGAAATATCCTGAGTGTGATATTTTGCAGAGAGGCAGAGAAAGCAGGCACACAACGTTTAGGGCCAGCGTCTGGGCTCCATTGATCAGGTCAGCATTTATTAGTAGGAAGCGGTAACATTTACAACTGGTCCTCGGGCAGGAACTGGGAGAGCCACCACCCGCGGCCGCCCACGCAAGCCCAGCCCTCAGGGAAGAGAGCGGCACGTCCAATGCACTGAGGAAGAAACCCCAACCCACCCGAGGCCCTGGGTTCCTCTCTAGGCCTCACTGAAGATCTTCGCCGAGGTGCCACGGGCTCCCTGAGGAAAGGGGGCTTTTGAAACTGTTGGGCAACCCGGCCGGGTTTCGGCAGGGGCTTGCAGCCGGGGTGTCCGCACTGTTGTCGCTCTGCCTTCATTCTTGGAATTGGGGCGCGCTTGGCCCCTGTTTGGGCAGTGCTGGGGGTGGGGGGACTAAACTACAGCACTGTTCAGAAACATGAGGAACATTTACACAAGAGAGGGCTCCCCAAGCCAGCGTGCACTCACAAAATATTGCATTTCCTAAGGAATCAATGGAGCAGGAAAGGGAGGGTGTGGGATAGGGTGAAACCCCAAAGCCACTTGGTTTTTCCAACGCGTAGGCGAGCAAATAGAGTCCCCCAAATACCTCACAGAGACCAACCACACAATCACTTCTACCTTAAAAAAAAAAAAAAAAAAAAAAAAGAAGAAGTCCAAGTCGTTGGAAAGTTTCTGGAAATCAAGCACCCACAAAGGAAAAAACAAAAACCAAAACCGCTGCCTTTGAGCGCTCCCGACAGCACGGCACCGGGTCAGTCTCCTTTGGGGCATTTCTCTTTGCTCATCTTTTTCATTTTCATCCTACGGTTCTGGAACCAGATTTTGACCTGTCTCTCTGTTAGGTTGAGAATCCTCGCCACCTCGTAGCGCCGGTCCCGGGTGAGGTACATGTTGAAGAGGAATTCTTTCTCCAGCTCAAGCGTCTGATACTTGGTGTAGGGACAGCGCTTTTTCCGGGTGGAGCGAGCGTGGATCCAGTTCGCTGCGGGGTTGTCTACAAAGAGGGGGGTTTGGAGACAGGGAGCGAGGGGCGGAGAGGAGGCAGGGAGAGACGACAGGGTGGGGAAGAGAAGTCGTTAAATTAATTTCACCAAGGATGGCCGCTTTTCACAACTTGGGGGAATTATCATAAAAGCCTTAATGCCCGCGCTCTGTTTACCGTACAAACCGAGCGCCCAGGGTACGTGGTTATGGGGAGCTTTTTTATGGATGCGTGTTGTTCGCCTAGGCTTGGGTAGGCGTCTAGACGTTTTTATAGGTTAGTAAAACTATCAGTTTTGCACATTCGAGCCTTACAGGTTTCAGCAATAAATCAGGGGGCAATTTCTTTTGCACTTACTTGGGTCAAGTTGCTGCTGTGGCGGCTGTGGATGCTGCTTCTCCTCCTCCTTCAGCGGGCAGCCGGGGCTCGGGTGGTCGCTGCAAGCAGAGGGCTCCGACGAGCCGCCCGTCCCGTTCCCGGTCCCAATCCCTGTCACGGGCCCGGTTCCCCCCGCCGCCGCTGCCGCCTTGTCCCGCAGAAACGAGTTGCACGAGAACTCGGGGCCGCTGCTCCCCTGGGACTCCCGGGCCGCGGAACACTCAGTCCGTTTGGAGGAGGAGGATAAGGAAGTGGAGGAGGTGGTGGAGGCGGCCGTGGCGGGGGCCGGGGCCGCTCGGGTTTCAGGCTTAATCCCGTAGTGGCGCCCGTTGGCTGCGCCGCCGGGGCCAGGGCTGGGACCGGGGCCCGGGCCGCCGCCTCCACCCCCGCCACGGCCACCGCCACCGCCACCGCCCGCACCGCCCGGGAAGCCTGGCAGCGGCTCCATCCAGGAGCGCACATAGCGGCCAGGCTCGGAGGCAGAGGCGGCCAGGGGCGGCGGGGGGACGTACGGGTGGTAGAGGCCGCTCATCGCCGCCGCCGCCGGGGGCTGGGCGGGCACCGCGGACCACGAGGCTGAGAACACGGCCGATTTGGGGGCAAAACTACACGAGGCGAACTCGGCTGCGGCGGCGGCCGGACTATCAGCCACACCTGCAGGCCGGCCCGAAGCGCCTGGCCCCGGCTGCCCGAAGCGCGCCACGAACACCTCGTCGCCCTCATGGCCTATAAGCGAGTCCACGTAGTAGTTGCTGAGGGTGCCACTGGAAGACATTTTGAGGCGACCCGCGCTCCCACCCAAGGTTACTCTGTCCGCCGCGGAGCCGCTCCCCGCCGGCGCCCAAGCCGCCGACTAGTTCGCAGGCTGCAGCCTCCACCATTGGTCGCGCGGCCCACGTGATCATATTTACCAATACCGGGAGTAAATCAGTCCGCTAAACTGGGGGCTGCTGTGATTAAAAAAAAAAATCATCAACGTAAGAGCCGCAATTAGAGCCCACAGGCCCAGGTCCATGAGCCCGGCTCTGCCCGGCCCAGCTCGGCCGGGCCCGCCCAGCGGCTGCCGAGACCACAGACGCGACTGAGGCCGGAGGAGGCGCTGGGGACTATTTGTTCGCTTCTTCTCGCGGCCCTTGGTCTTGCAGTCCAAGCCCCGGCGCTGGCTCCCCAGCTCCCGAGCCGCGGGCGGTGCGTCCAGGGCACACGGAGCGGCCGGGGACGTGCTAGGCCGGGTGTCGCCCGAGGCAGGCGGGCCCTCGGGGGCGGCCCCTGGCGCCCGAGGGGAGCTGTTCTCCCCTCTCCTCTCTCCCTACCCAAACTCACCCCTCCCCACACATCCCCACACACAGGCTCGCTCACAGCTTGTCGTGTTGTTTAAAACAGGTGGAAGACCTCTGTAATGATATTATGCCTTTCAATAAAAATTTTATGAGGTGTATTTGATTATAGATTAATGTGTCCCTAATAAAACGGACGGATGGAGCAGCTCAGAGTGCCCCCTCCCCCTGCCACACTCACACACGCCCCGCGCGGCCACACACACCCCGACGTGAGGCTGGGCACACGCCGCGGCCCGAGGGGCGAGCCGAGCCGCCTGGCGCGGCGGCGGCGGACGCGAAGGGGCTTCTGCTTGCCCGCGGAAGGGCTGCCGGGCGGGCGAGTTGGCGGAGCACGGACAGTGGCGGCCACGGTGCCTCATCTTCTCCGGTGCTGCTGGAAAGGCCCTGGAAGAAAACACGCCACAGGGCAGAACCCAAATGCTAGAGCAGCCTGCTCCCGCCCGCCGTCCCAGCCCTGCCTCAGTGAGTCTCCCCAGGCAGGGCCGCTTCGCGCGGTTCGCACTTAGAGGCCTCAGAGGAGACTCCCAAAATGTCTAAAAATCTGGCCGAATGGCCGGGTCCTTGGGCCACTCCCTTCTGAATTTTTTTTCCCTCCAGAGGTGAGGCTAAGCAGCCTTGAATCTGAGGGAAATGCCCATTGTCACTCCCAAATCCATGGTACAAAGCCTCGGAAGCCCGGCTGGGAGCCGAGACAAAAGCCGCCGGGCGCTGCCGGAGGAGGGCATATTCCTCGTTCCACAAGTTGTCTAGCGCATCTTTGGAGGGCTCCTGGCCCACTTCCAGCCCCGAAAAGGAAGAGAGTAAATGGCTACTTATGGCCTGATTGATTACCTTTGCCAATAGCTTTCTGATTTTTGTTCCAGAGGGGATGCCTTTGCCTTGTAGCTCAGGCTTTCCTCGAGACATGGCCCCCTAACAACTACTGGCGCTCCCCACACGCTCGGAGAAATGGTTAAGTCAAAATTACCCTCCTCCTGCCCAACCGGTGTTAAGTCTGGGGCAAACCTATTCCAATGTTTTCAATTCGGCATTGATTCCAAGCCCTCTCCCCCACCCCCAGGAAATGGCCCCCGAAAAGGGTCTGTCTTGGAATGTTCCTGGTTTGGGGGAGGAAGTTTAAAATTCTAAAGGCCACTGTCCCAGAGACTCCCTGGATGAGGACTTAGAGCACCTAAATAGTTTTTCTTAGGGAAACATTTAAAAAGGACGAAATGGAAAAGATGTGTTTTGTGAAACTGCTGAAAGCTGTTTGAAACCGCAGGCTGGACCTGGGGTAACGAATTTTCTGTTCGCTTTTCCACGAAAGGCCTCTCCTCCCTTCTCCCCCTCCCCCAACAGGACTAGATAAGTCTGGGCTCTCTAGCGGGGATCCTGCAGAAGCCGGTGAAAGCTGGTGGGAGTCTCCCCGGCCATGGCAGCAAATGGAACATTGGACTTCATGGGAAGTCATGTTCATTTGCAAAATTTTCAGTCACCCTTTTTGCATTTTCTTGCATCCCAGATGCAGCAGCTCCAACCAGCACTTGTAATTAAATAAAGGAAAGACTGACTGGGGAAAATCTTTTCATTTCTTCCTTTAAAAAAATTTCATATGGGCCACTAAAAGGTAATGACAGAGCACAAAACCCATCCACAGGGAGACCAAGGCAAAGTGGGATGGGAAAACTCACCCATCCTCGGCTTCTCTGAGGTCTGGCTGTCTTGCGCTTGGGGTGGGGGTAGGGCTGAGGGAAAGGGGGCAGAATTGGATCCGCTGCAGTGCTAAACTGCTGCTTGTCCTTGCTCCTGTAATGGAGGCCGGCAGCTTCCAGGTGGGCAAGACTAGCTTCAACCTAGCCCCTGATGATTGCTCGCCAGCCAGAAATCACCAAGATGCCACTGAAAGCATTAAAAACAACACAGCCGAAACCAAAGAGGAGAAAACACACAAATGGGAAGCTTTGAGGAGAAAGTGGCTTGGGGTATAGGCTTACTTACCAGGCTCAGGCCAGAGGGAAGCTCACACCCATTGAGAGTGGCAATTATGTTACTATCACTGGGGGCTGGGAAAGGAAAGAGGAGACTCCCCTTCCTCCCAATTATGAAAACTGCACTCTCAGGCTGGCTTATCACTCCTCTTCCCCAACCACTGCCAAAATCTGACACCCTAGGCCTCCTCCAGCTTTTTTCACCCAGCTCCCTTCCCCTATTAGTCTATCACTCCCCCACTCAAATGCCCCAAACAAGGTGTTTAACCAGTAGATAATCTCACCATAGCCTTTCATTTCCACCATAACATATTTCCATTTCAGAAAGCAGAGGGAGCGAACTCGTTTCCAGAGTTTATTGCATTATACATGCGACCAGAACATGCACAGAAAGGACAGGTTGCTGTTGTACTTCTACCAAACCACAGATGCACCACAAGGGAAAGGCTACAAGGCATAAATCGTCAATGTTCCATCTCACCAAAGACAATTGCTAAATTCATTTGTGAAAAGATACATTGGAATGTGCTTTCTTAGTCCCCCTCCCTCCAAGCTTGTGGGTTTTCTTAATATTTTATTTTAAATATATATGTCATTTTTAAAGTACTGAATGTATTCAAAATGCCATGAATTCATGTACTAACCACACACACAGACCTTTTGTGTTAGGAAAGACATGAAAAAGTCACATTGCTGGATGGATGGATGGATACTCTACAATAAGTTAAGACCCAAATGAAAATGCGCAGTAATAGTTACCCTGCATTACGATGAAAAAATAATAAATTACACGTGCTAAGTTTTTTTATATATATATATATATATATATATATATACTCATAAGGATTACAGATCACTTGCAGCACGAACATAATGACCCCAAAGTCACATTCTAGCAGGAAAACAAAATACAACAAAACAAAAAACAAAGAGCGGTGAAGGTTTTGTTTCCGCTTTCCCAGTCCTCCAGCACTGGGCCCTGGAACGGGGTGCCCCCTCTCCAATCCTGGCCTCTGACCGGCCTCAGACCTAAGAAAACGTGAGGTTGGCGGTCAGTTCTCGGATCCGGTTCTCTCGGCTCATCTTCTTGAGTTTCATTCGGCGGTTTTGAAACCAAATCTTGACCTGCCTGTCGGTGAGGTTAACGCTCTTACTGATCTCTAGGCGGCGCTCGCGGGTGAGGTACATATTGAACAAGAACTCTTTTTCTAATTCCAGCGTTTGGTGCTTAGTGTAAGGGCACCTCTTCTTTCTGCCACTCTTTGCAGTGAGCCAATTGCTGGTTGGTGTATCAGACTTGATTTCCTCTAACAAAATTAAAGGGAGAAGAAGAAAAAAAAATCAAGACGGTTTTTTTTTTTCTCAGTCTGTTCAAACGTACCCTTGGCCATGACCCTGCTGGCAGCCAGGCCGCTTTGGAAAATGCTAGTATTAAACATTACTCACATCAAGTGGGCCCTGGAAGGGAATCTTACATTGATGCTACATTACTTAAATGACATGATAGCAGGACATTGCATTTGGGTTCTCTCTCTCTCTTTCAACTTTCTGACTTGTACAAAACATTAGTATAATAGTAAACTTTCCAGATCTCCCCAGCAACATTCTAAGAGTTCAGCTCCTGACAGGGCCAGAGGGGAATAAGCCACAACCTGGACAAGCCTACCAATCCCACTGCTGCCTCAGGTCCCCCAGTCTGCCGCTTCTTCCCCACCTCTCCTAGGCAGTCAGGGAGCCCCACAGTCAGGTTTATAGGTGCCCATTATCTTTCAAAAGATACATGGGGAAGCAAGAACACCTTCCCCACCCTGCCTGGGTATGGCTGCATTCCCCAGAATTTCCTGAATTTTTCATGTCTTCTTGCCCCCACACAAAAGCACTCCCCCAGAAATGGAGCCCCCTACTGTAGCCCACCTCTGAGCATTGGGGAAGAGGAGCAGGGGTAGGTTTCCTTCTCAGAAAGCCAGATCCATGGCTCTTTGCCCTAGCCCAGCCCTAAGGCTGGCCTTACAGAGTGGGCAATGCGGGTTCCACTCTCCCCCTCCGCTTTTGCCCTCTTTGGCGACGGATTGCAAAGCCTGCGGCACTTTTCCTAAACAAAGCCAAGGTTACCTAGTCCAGCAAAGGCAGGAAGTCCTGTTCACCAGCCCAAGCACCAACCAGCCCAGCCATCTCGTTCTTCTCACCACCCCCAAGCTCGCAGGATGCGGGGTGCATACACTTGAACACGAACACGGTGCCCTGGGTAACCTTAAAATGATTATTGGGCTCAAGGCAAAACTGGAACTGCAAATCTGAGCAGGAGAAAGGAGGCTCTGGGGTCGTGTTTACCAGCCGCAGGTCTCCTTTGCGCTCTTTTGTTGTGTTTCAGGTCTAGCTCAGGAAAAATAAAACCGGCAAGCTTTTCCTCTGCCCGGGCGCCATCAGCGTGGGGCCAGGACTGGCGGGGAGGGCCAGGTCAGCAGGGGAGAAGCGGGGACTATCTCAGGGCTGAGATCACCCTTCTAAAAGCCAGGCGGAGCAGCACCTGCCAATTCGGGCGCAGGCTCGGCGCTGGGCACCCGGGCGCTCCCTCTCTGCCGGTTCCCGGGCTGCGCGCCCCGCTGGGGAGGCAACTCTGCTCATACCGACCTTTGCTTTCCTTCTCCTGCACTTCGGGACTGGACACGGAGACCTCAGCCAGGCAGCTTCTCTCTTCAGGAAGGCCGCCTTTGGCCTCGGGGCTCTCCACCTGAGAGACTTTGGTGGGCTCCTGGCCGTTCGCGGGCTCGTTCATCTTCTTTTCCATTTGCAGCTGGGCAGCCGGGAGCTGCGGCTTGGCCGCGCCACGAGGGTTGAGCTGGAGCATGACAGTGGAGCTGCCTTCGGGGCTGTTATTGTACTCTTGGGTTTTCCCGGTGGCGTAGGTCTGACTCAGTCTAAAATATCCAGGGACGGGAACCTCAGGGTTCTCAACGGGACAAGACTCAGGGACCAGCCTCTGGTAAGAAGGTACCTCGGCCGAAATGAGTTTGTTGCGCTTATCAGAATACATGCAGCAATTGGATTCTTCCTTAATGTTGGTGGTGAAAGAGCAAGTGGGGACTTGCTGTGTAACAGGTTGCTCTATTCGACAAGATCTGTTCGGGTCTGTCCAACTGTCTACTTGAGGTATATAAGGATGCACATTCATACCCATATTTTGGTGGTTCACTTCTCTTTTGGCCAGAGACGGGAGCAGTCCACAGGTTTGCATTCCATAGGTCCCCATGTCTGCGCTAGGTGGTGGCATGTACATGCTGGCGCTGCTCGAATAAAAACTGTCACTCCTGCAGGCACTGATCAAGGAATCTACTAAAAAAGTATTAGCAGCAGGAGAGCTGTTGGGAAAGGACATTTTGGGGAGGAATTTGAAGAAGAGAGATTGTGTCCTTTGTAGGCTGACATCTCTAGGAAAACATTCCCCGTGTAATTGTGGATGCCTCTGCCGACCACATGACAACCAAGCCAATGAGATTTGAAAATGGCCTTGAGCCGCAGCCTCCTCTCAGGTCACGTGCTCCAGAGCCCGGCCGGCCGGCCGCGTAAGCACGGACAACAGCGACATCTACTACGCGCCCGCGATAGTGCGCGCTGGAGACAACCGGCCCAGCGCTCTCCGCAGCCCTCCTGTCCGCCTCTCCAGGGCTCGCTCCGCCAGCCCGCCCCACTCGCGTACCCCTCTTCGGCCACTGGGCCCAGCCGGCAAAAGGAAAGTCTCGGCCGGAGAGAGCTTCCGAGTGGACACTCACGGACGGGGAGGGAAGCCAGAGTACCCTGGCGCCAGCGCACAGAAGCATCTCCCCCGTACACATCCAGGCAGAACGCGCTTAAGAGGGCCGGGTCCAGGACAAGAGGGTGGGGGCGCAGGCTGATTAATTTAGTCCGGGGCAGCCCAGCGGGGAAGGTGAGTCGGAATCCGCCGGCCCTCAGACATCCCACCCCAGGGGTCCAAAGGAAAGATCCCTTGGGGCAAAGAAGCGGCCAAGGTGTCTCTCGGAGGACAGAGGCAAAAAGGGCTGCGAGGGCCGAGAGGCCAAGCAGCCGGCCGGCCCGGATCCCTGTAGCTGGGTCGGATCCCGGCGTTATCCTCCCCCTTGGTCCTCCTGCCTAGCTCCGGGTCCCTATGCGCCCCGGCGGGCTACACTAGCCTTCGGCTCTCAGAGGAACCACACCCTGACCTCTGCGGAGCCGGGCCTCTGGGAGCTTTCAGACCAGAGACAATTCTTTGCCTGCAGTTCACTATTCGCGAAAGCGTCTCTCCCGCTCCCTGCGGGAGAACTAAACCGAGGTTTCCCTCCCCACACCCTGATAACAGAGGGCAGAAAGGAAGGAAAAAAGGGAAAAAAAATTTAAGAAAAGGGGAAAACGCTGACCCTCAGAATCCAGAAGTTCCAGAAAACTGACTGGGCCAAGAAGGACAGAAAGAAATGCAAAGGTGTCATTTGGTTCTTCTGCAAAGAAAAATATGTTTTCCTTTTATGGATTTTGTAAAAGCATTGGTTTCTGACAAGTGCGAGGTACAAAAGGTTGTGGAATTTATTAATACATATTAAGAAGAATCAGGGCGATCAATAAAATTCTCATCTACATTCTTGGGCTACTTGGTAATTTTCTTGCTTCTGAAGGTTTTTAAAGAGTTATGCCCGCTGTTGCCACACACGGGAAGATACTTTATTAACAAATCAATCGAGACTTTGTAAAGGATAAGATTAATAGTTAAATTTAGCATAATGGCGTTCACTTTATGAATTATTGAAAATTATACTATTGATTTTTTTCCCTTTGCTGCTAACCAAGAAGGTCAATTTTTGTTTTAACACAAATTGTCAAATATTAAAAGCTACACTTTTGTCAGAAGTTAAGTTTTATAGTTTTGGACAATTCCTAAAATTATTTGACAAGGCTTTGCTTGGGTAAGGGAGGGGAAGGAGGTGGACGAATCTTAGTCCTCTGCTTCCTTTGGTGAGGGCAAGTTCTATAAAGAGGATATGGTCTGGGGTTGTGGTCCAGCTCATTAAAGAACCACCACTACCACCACCACCACAGTGGAAACTCAGAGTTTTATGAGAAACTTCAACAACTTCCTCCCTCCTTCTCTGGTTGCAGGCGGGTGAGCCGCCCTGCGGAAGCCGGGGCCTCGGGGCAGCAGCAGGGAGCTTTAACCTTGATTTCCAAAGACTTGCCCTGAGTGAGGGGCCGGCCAGGGCTTGGAGTCGTCCGTCCTTCGGCCTGCCAGGTTCCCTTCCCGCAGCCAAGAAAGTAAAGCAGCCCCAGAAACTCTGACCATGAACCAGTTCTCAGGCCGGGAAGGCATCTGCGTTCTCTTTTCCCCACACTCGCCCGGCATGGGCTGGCCTTGGATTTCAGGCCCAGAGACTGAACTTGTGGACAAATTGGGTTTCTGCCTCAACAGAACATTTATTTGGGGCCTGATGTTCATTAAAGCACCTCAGCATTCTTGGGGACCTAGTAGCCTGCCCGCTCCTTTACAAAAACCTCTCCCAACAAACCCTTTGTCCCTCTTTCCAAAAAGGAATCTCCCCTGGCCTGGTGGAAACAAGCATTGAACATTATTTTCGGCCTTGGGACCGTTTCGCCTGCTCCCTCTCAGTGCCCTCGCCCAAACAATAACCTCTTTTAAAAAACTCCTCGGTGGCAATGAGACAGACCTTTTAAACCTTTACGCAGCTGTTCAAATACAACATCATTGTCAGGTTAAAAGCCTGGCGCCTCTAACAGCTTCGGCTGCGGCATCCCAGCATAGCCCAAAGTTTAAACATTACCTTTCCACAGGGTAGCTATTTTCAAACTTGGGGGTGGGGGTTGAGGAAGGCAGGAAAAAAAAAAAACAAAAAAAAACCCTATAACTTTTGACTCTGGGTTGCTAAGGTCCTGTTCAAAGCTAACAGCCACTGACCAGTGCCCTGAAATTTGCTTTCTCACATGGTGGAGATCTCGTTACAAGGCAGGGCTAAGCGTGCCCAAGTCTGGATAATGTGCCCGCTGCACTCGCTTGCGGCAGGCGCCCTGACACTAGCCTGGCGCTCCAGCAATGTCGAGTGTCGCCCTTTTGCCTCTTCACCAGGAGAGCTGCCTCGGGAACTCGTTTGCCCAATTCTCCCTACCCAAAGCAAGGCAAGACTGTTCAATCTAACCGGGAATTTTATGCCCATCAAATGCCCTTTCATAATCTTTATTTATACATGAAGAAAACATCCAGGCTAAAAACAAGCAATTCCTTGCGGGCAGGTAGGTCCGCAGTGAGCCAGGATGGGCAGGATGTGTCTTCAGAGTTTGGGGACCTTTCCATTTCAACTCTCAGTGACTTTGAGCTCAAAGTCACTCTCATAATGGTTAAAGTTAAATAGGTTTTTACTCACAGACAAAAATGTGTATATCAGATATAATTTTGAATCTGTTCTCACAAAATTCTATTTTTTCTCTTTAAAATTTCTGCCTTCAGACCCGCTCCTTGAGACCAGAGACTGTCAGTATTTTGAGAGATTTTATTACTAAAAAATTGAGCAAGATAGAAATAATACAAAAGAATGATCTGGGCCCCAAAGGATGGAAAGTGTGCCTAAGACTCAAAGGCTGAGATGAGACAAATGGAATAAAAAGGCAGTGCTCTAAAGGCCAGCCTTTATTTTGCTTATGAGTATTTAATGTAGCTGCTGCCTTCGATCATCTGTAGATCAGTTGGAGCAGTTACCATTAATAATAAATCAATATTGCACCATAAAGGAGATGGATACCCATATCTGTACCAAGACGCCCTTCTCCCAGCCACAGTTCTTTCCAGGGAAAAATTTAAAGGATAGCTTGAGCAAGAAATTAGCATTTGTAATCAAAAAGTGGCTTGCAGCTGCACTCTTGTCTCCTAGAAGAAAAGTTGAAGCCCTGGGCCTGAGTGGACCTGTGGGCTCTTAGGGTAATCCCGGATTAGGGTCCTGAGCAGCCTCTGGGCTGTGCCACTCTTGGGGGACAGAGGGGATGGGGTCAATTAAAAGCTGTCTTCCCAGGGTGCTTTTCCGAATTGCACTGTGCACCTCCAGGCCAAGGTGAAAGGAAATCGAGGAGGCAAATGGGGAGCCTACCATCAATATGATAAGAGGTCTATCCAGACGTGCGACAAGGGCGGGCAGCCGGAGAGCCTCTTTCTGCACAGACACAAAAGACTCCTACTTCGGGCATTTCCCTTCCACTTCAGAGTCTAAGACCTCGGCGCCTCAGGATCCAAGGCCACAGTCTGCAAGCCCCACACATTCTGAAAGATGGGGGGCGGGGAGAGGTCTTCAGCCCACAGGGGCCCTGGTCTGATCCCCGGCCATTGTCAGGCCCATCTTGGGTGCAGGGAGGAAAGAAGCTGCAGACCGCTGAGAAGCGGTGTTTCCGCAGGCGGCTGCCAGCCAAGGCCAAGGGGCCCTCCCGCACAGCCAGATGTGCAGCTGCTGGGGCCGCCTTACGAGGAACACAACGACATTTGGGGAGGGCGGTTCTTACTCCACAAAGACCGTGGTCCGGTTCAGACTCCGGTAAGGTCGACTCACTATAGCCAAGCTGGACCGGCGGTCAGACTAGTGGAGCTAAGGTTGCCCACGGGAAACACCCACGCCACTCGTTGGCGCCTCGCTGGGGGCTCAGTGGCGCCCCAGCCTCCCCGCCAAAGCTGATGCCAGCTCCGGGAGGCAGACAAGCGGCAGGCCCCAGGGCCTTTGGTACAGGGCTTGGAGGGCGGAAGACACACAGGGGAGCCAACGAGGCCGGCGCTAATTCTGGGGGATGGAGGCCCTTCACAATGAACTTCGGGGAGGGAAAGGGGGCAGTCATCCTCCCTTAGAAAGGCCAATGTTCAAGAGCCCTGTCTCCTCTCTTTTTGACTCCGGACGGGGACACATGCCCTCCCCAAGTTCAGGGGCTTTGCTGGGGAAGGGAGGGCACTCAACAAATACACTGCTTTTGAGAGCCAAAATTCAACTCCACTCTGCCAGACCGGCGTGCAATTTGGAAGGGTGGCCAGTGTTCTGTCAAACGCAAAGTCCGTTTGCTTCAAATACAGTCCCCGTTCCACAACGCCTTGAAGTATAAATATTTCCCCCTGAGTGCCTGCTGCCTCCCGTGGCCGCAACAGCCCAGCCTGGCCTGGGCACACCAACTCACAGTCCTGCCGGCGCCTCCCGGTCGCCACGGGTAGCCGCGCACGCCAGGCACGGCCCCCGGCTCCCTAACCCAGAACGACTCTCCCAGGCCTCCATGCGTCTTATTATTATTATTATGTATTTTTTTTTCTGAGAGACATTCGGCTAAGTTTCCCGCGCCCTGATCTGTTATAAACAAAAGACTTTTAATCATCTCAGGCGGTCTAAGAGCTGGCAAAACCGATGAAGATTTTTGTTTTTTTGAAGGGGGAGGGGGATGTAAGTGAGGGGTG